GCAATAATATTCATGTCTTCTTCATCTCTTTACTCTGTGTTCTCTGTTGTTATGGCTGAGTAGTCAATCTTGTTAGCCTAGGGTTCTAGGGTGTTGATCCATTGAACTAAACATAAATAAGCATCATTCTTGCCTTTGCTCTCCACTGTTCTTACTGCTGATACTGATCTGATCACTTAGTATTTGATTCAAAGTTTAACCTTTTATCATTAATCCTGAATTAGGTTGCTAGATCTGTTGAGAGCAAGCATCACATCCATGGTCAGCGAAAGTAGATATCAGGGTGTGATGTGAGCATATTAGGTCTGTTCTTAATGTTTGCTGTTGAGTATTGATCCACGCGAGAGCATAGATACCATTGCTCCTCTGCGAAAGGAGCACACCTGCGAGAGCAGGGTGTTCTAGTTAAGAAATCTGAGTTCTTGGCTGCACTTAAAAAGCTTGAATAATTGTTTGGTTCACCATGATTAACACCCAATGAGATACCCTAGGTTGACATCCTTATATCCTGAAATTAAAACCCAATTTAATTACTTGTTTCTCACGATTTGCTTCTTTATAAAACTTATCGTTTTAACTTGAATTTGATCCTATAAAAATAAAGTGTAATATTTGGTCTCTGTGAATTCGATCCTTAAGTGTTACATCGACATACCATTCGATTGTGGTAGTGTGCACATTAGGTTAATTGGTGTGCGTTCGCACGAAATATCAAGATGCGTGCAGGCTTTGCACATTTTAGCTGGTCATCCGTCAAAAACGACACATTGGCAACGCTCGTACTTCTATATTAAAGCCGATGAGGCTGCTTTCGAGGAACCGCCTGATGACCGTTCTCGCACTTTATGGAACTACCGCATTGGTAGTTACACGTTCCTGGGGTCGGACTAATCGATCTTTTTAACCCGTTGTCTGACGTTCATTTCTTTGTTTTTACTTTGCAGTTGGTCATCCGAACATCATTGACTATCCCGAGCCTTTTTGGGAAGTTGTGACGAAGATCGCTGTGCTTGATCGGGGCGAGTGGGACGATTTCGACCGGAGGAGGATTCGCAATCAGCGTGATCGGATTTCGAAAGGTAATTTTTCTTTCTCCCTCCTTCTTTTTTCTTCTTCTTTTTTTATTTTATTTTTCAGGCCGATCGATCCTTTGCTGTTTCGTCACCCTTGCCGGCCGACCGGTCGTTTGATTTGTGCATTTTAGCCTGATTGTTCACGTTTTCTGGTTTCAGTTGATTGGGCGTCCGATATTCCTTGTGAGGATCCTAACGGGGAAAGAAGGTTGCCGCTTCCACTGATGGGAAAAATTCCGCCAGTATATCCCAATTTCAGTGAGCTCTTGGATTCCCAGCTGGGTGATGAGAGTTTCGATCCTGCTGCAGCGTTGGAGGCGGAGAACGAGAAGGCCAAGGATTCACACAATGAGGGAGATGATCCTCCGGTAGAAGATTCAGCGGTAGATGAGGCGGTTAATCGCGATACTGATGTTATTTCAAAGAAGAAAAAGAAGAAGAGTAGGTTGTCTAAAAGAACGAAGGCCGACTCTCCGGAGATGGAAGTTGCCGCAGATGAAGTTGTTCATGAGGGTCCTTCAGGTGATGCTACCGAAGGGAACCGTGAGGTCGTGGAGGCAACAGGCTCGATTGGCGAGGATCGCACTGGTCCGTCAGCGATGAAGAAGAAGAAGAGGCCGATCGATGATTGTCCTAGCGACTCCGGGAGTAAGCGGTGAAGGGTAATGACGGGCGACCTTCTCCTCCTCCTCAGGAAGTTGCAGTGCCAGTCTCTCGTAACCTTCCTTGGGGTGGATCGGGTCCACCAAACGGGAAGCCTCCGTTGTCCCAATCGGAGCGTTGGAGCTTTCATCACAAGGACGACACGGCTTTTGTCAACGATGAGGGGGAATGCGCTGAGTTATCCCGCCATATCTGGGGTGGCTCACGCGAAATGCCCGAAGTCGGCGATCTTGCATTCCCACGGTCGTTTGCTGAGTCGGCCCGCGCGGATGCCGTGGTATGATTTGCTTTATTATTTATTTATTATTACTCTCTTTTTTTTTTTTTTACGTTCAATCGATCGCCCTCCCTTTATGTGTTTTGATCGTCCTCCTTTATATATACTTTTTCTGTGATAACCAACGTAGTCTTTGTTTTGTAGGCCTCTGCTCGTAAGAACTACCTTGTCCTCGAGTGCGAGCTTGCTATGCGGAAAATGGCCTTGGATCTTAGGAAGGCTGAGGCAACGATCAAAACGCAAAATGTGGAGTTGGAGAAGGTCCGGAAGAGTGCTTTGGAGAGGACGAAGGAGATGGCTGTGGAGCGGAGTCGGAACCAGCGCGAGCGTAAGCAGGCTATCGAGAGGGCCGATGGTCTTGAGGAGGATTTGGAGAACGCCCGAACTAAAATTGCGCAGCTGGAGCGTGAGAAGGTCGAGGAGGCCGAGAAGCATAGGAGATTGGTGGATTTCATGAAGCAGTGTCGCATTCGTGAGGTTACATCTGAGAGAGGCCGTCTTATGACAGCCGCTGCCGCGCGCTTCAACAAATTTCGGAAGTACATGGCTGACCGAGACAAGCTTGAGACAAAGCTCTTTTTCCATGCTCAGGCTTTGGGGACTTTGCAGTCGTTGGATGTGCTAGAGAAGCGAGGTCAGCAAATTCCACAGAGGATGAGGGATACTTTGACATTTAATGAGAAGAAGTTCAAGCGGGAGGTTGAGGAGGCCGATGTCGAGGAAATCACGGAGCGAGATCTCTCTTTATCTCCTCCCCGTTCCGGACCGTTTCAGGGCCTTGATCAGTTCGGGACGAACTTGGGGTTGGTCGATTCTACGACCGCGGTCTCCCTTCGTTCCCCGACAGCCGTCGTTGAGACTATTGCCGCTGTTTCGGATTCACGTGGTGTCGCCCGTTCGATCGATGCCGATACAGGAGGAGCGCCAAACGAAGTTGCTGTGGAAATGGGAGGCGCTGCCGAGGGAGTGAAGGTTTCTGCCGTGCGACCGGTCGCCGATCCGTTTGAGCCGAGCGCTTGACTCGTCTGTTGTTGTTGTTTGACTTTCATCTTTCGTTTGTGTTTTTGGTCTTTTGGCCTTTTGTTTGATGTACTTTCTGGATTTGGTTCCGCTTTGTTGCGGTTTGTTGTTGTTGTCTTTATGCTTCAAGTTGAACTTCTCGGACTAAGTTTTTCTTTTTTATATTCGGTGCCTTCGCTTTCCCGTTTCATTCTTGAGAATAGCTCATGACGATCGATTGCCACATGGTCGGAAATCGATCGGCCGGCTCCTTCAGCGTTAGATGGGCGATTGATCGTCATCCTCACTCTGACCTCCATTGGTTTATTATCGGATGGACGATCGATTGACCTCCTTTAGCATAGGAGGGCGATCGATTTTTGTTAAGGGTCGATTGTCGATTACACGGTAGTTGCCCGGCCATCCTTAAGTGTTTATTACCACTTAAGTGGGACGCTTGTCTTTCGAGGGGGGGGGGGTCGTGACGATCGATTGCCACATGGTTGGAAATCGATCAGTCGGCTTCCGCTGGGCGTTTTGAGTCACTTCCTTCCTAACTTGAGAGAAAGGAACCGTGACGATCTCCTTCAGCATCGGATGGGCGATTGATCGTCATCCTCACTTTGACCACCATTGGTTTTATCATCGGATGGACGATTGATCGACCTCCTTCAGCATCGGAGGGCGATCGATTTTTTGTCGATTATACGGTAGTTGCCCGGCCATCCTTAAGTGTTTATTACCACTTGAGTAGGGCACTTGTCTTTCAAGAATTGGCGAGGAGGCCGGAAGAAATCGGTAGGTCAATATTGCGCGTGATGCGATCGTATGCCCGGTTTGCAGGGACGCATTCTCGGTTGGATTACGAATCGATGGTCCGTTGAGGGATTAATCCGTTAGAGAAGTCTTGGCGTTTGTTCGTCTAATCAGCGAAATGGATTTGAACATTGTCTTCGCGATCATTGTAGTCGAATTGAGATGACGTGGAGTCATTCACTTGACATGATCGAAAAAGTTCGCGTGAAAAGCCTCGTGCTGCCAATCGGGTTTTTTGGTTTTGGTTTGGATTATAGCTGGACCTCGTGAGAGGCTGCCTACGTACCCAAAGAGAGGGATCAAGCCATTCGTAGTTCGATTTGGCCGAGTGATAGATCATTTGCCTTCCCGGGGAAAGGGCAAATGTGATATCGATCGCTCGGTCTTTTTTTTTTTTTTGGCCGATGGGTCGCTCGTTTGTGTGTGATATCGATCGCTCGGCCGTTTTTTTTTTTTTGGCGTTCGATCGCCAGTTTTGACTTAGGAATAATATTTACGGAGATTCGAGGCATTCCAAGACCGTGGCAATCGCTCTCCTGAAGATGTTTCCAATCGATAGACTCCTGGTTTAACGACTTCAATTATCTTGTAAGGCCCTTCCCAGTTGGCTCCTTGCTTTCCGGCTTTCCATTCTTTGGTATTTTCGAACACTTTCCTTAGTACGAAATCATTGAGCTCCAATGGGCAGGCTCGTACTTTCTTGTTGTAGTATGTTTCGGCGAGATGTTGGTAGTTCTGAATGCGCAGGAGAGCCTGATCTCTTCGTTCTTCGATCGCGTCAAGGGCGTCGAGCATCATGTCTTTGTTGAGGTCGACGTTTTGAGGCATCTTTGCTCGGCGTAAACTGGTGACATTGACTTCCGCTGGGGCCATTGCTTCAACTCTGTAAGCTAAGGAGAAGGGTGTTTGACTCGTCGCACTACGTGGAGTCGTTCGGTGTGACCAAAGGACTCCATCGAGTTCGTCTGCCCAATGTCCTTTCTTGAGATCGAGGCGTTTCTTGATTCCGTCGATGATCGTCTTATTCGTTGCTTCGGCTTGTCCATTACCCTGTGGATAACGGGGGGTCGATGTGTTAAGACGGATTGCCCATCTATCGCAGAAGCTGCAAAAGTTGTGCGAAATGAACTGCGAGCCGTTGTCGGTGATTATTTCGTACGGGAGACCGTGTCGGCATATGATGCTCTTCCATACGAAGTTTTGAACTTCTTTATCGGTTACGTGGACGAAAGCTTCGGCCTCTACCCACTTGGTGAAATAATCCGTCATTACGAGGACGAATCTACGTTGCCTGGAATTGGGTAAGGGACCAACGATATCCATTCCCCATCGCATAAATGGGTACGGCGCTGTTGTCGTTCGCAACAGCTCGGTGGGGGAATGGATGTTCGAAGCATGTCGTTGACATTGATCGCACTTTCGAGCGTAAGCTTCGCAGTCAGAGACCATCGGCCAGAAGTGTCCCAGACCTTTAATCTTGAGGACCAGTCCTCGTCCGCTAGAGTGATTTCCACCTGCTCCATCGTGGGTTTCGGCCATGACCAGGCGAGTTTCTTCGCCATGGATACATGTGAGGAGGACGTTATTGGCTGTTCTGCGATAAAGTTTTCCTTCCATTACGACGTAGTTCGAGCATTTAGCCTTCAGTCGGCGTGCTTCCCATTTTTCTGTTGGTAACGTTCCTCTGATTAAATAATCGAGGAAAGGGATCCTCCAATCGGGGGGCTGCGCGTTCGTGCTGTCAGTTGATTCGTCGATTTCCATATCGCTTGTGTTGACGATCGACGATACGACTGCGCCTTCCTCCGAGGAAGGCGAAATGCTCGGTCGGTCGATATGCTGAATGGGTATCGTCCGGCTTACCTGTTCGCGGGGGTTACTTTCGAGTGCGGCTAAGGCGTCCGCGCAAACGTTCTCCCCGCGAGGAATTTTCGTTAGTTCAAAAGAGTCAAACCCTTGGGCGAGGTCCTGAACTATGCGGAGATACGCATCCATTCGGTCGTTTTTTGCGTCGTAGTCTCCGTTGAACTGATTAGCGACTAACTGAGAATCGCAGTATGCATGGACTCGCTTGGCACCAACAGCCTCGGCGAGGCGTAGGCCGGCAATGAGAGATTCATAATCTGCTTCATTGTTGGATGCTTTGAAATCTAGTCGAAATGATTGGCGAATCAATTCGCCCGTTGGCGATTGCAGCTGGACGCCGATTCCGGATCCTTTCGTCGAGGATGAGCCGTCGACATGTAGTATCCAAATGCCTGTTGGCAAAACAAGATCCTGCTCGAGTTCTGGGGGAAGCTCGATGATGAAATCGGCTAGAACTTGCGATTTTTCGGCTGGCTTGCCTTGGTACGTGACGTCGTGTTCGCTGAGTTCGATTGCCCATTTCGACAATCGACCGGACTGGTTGGTGTTCTGCATGATTGTGCGCAACGGTTGATTGGTCAAAATGACGATCGAATGAGATTGGAAGTAGGGCCTGAGCTTTCTTGCCGAAGTGATGACCGCCAGGGCCATCTTTTCGAGGGTTGAGTATCGTGTCTCGGCGTCGGTCATTCGCTTGCTTGTATAAAAGATTGGGTGCTGTTCACCGCGATCTTCCTTGACGAGGACACTGCTGACAGCGATTGAGGAGACTGCGATATAAAGGTAAAGTGTATCTCCTTTTTCTGGTTTAGCTAGTACGGGCGGTGTGGTGAGGTAATGTTTCAGTTGGTTGAACGCCTCTTCACACTTCTCGTCCCAAACGAACTTCTTATTGCCGCGCAACAAGTTGTAGAAAGGGAGGCACTTGTCGGTCGACCGCGAGATGAATCGGTTAAGCGCTGCCACTCGTCCCGTCAGCCTTTGCACTTCGCGACTGTTTTTGGGGCTCCGCAGATCGAGGATGGCGGAGATTTGCTTTGGATTTGCCTCGATCCCCCTTTGTGTCACTATGTAACCGAGAAATTCACCAGACGTGACTCCGAACGTGCACATGGCTGGATTGAGCTTCATGCCGTATTCGTTCAGCGTCCGAAAGCAGTCAACCAAGTGGCTCAGGTGGTCGGTCGCCCGGCGGGATTTTACCATCATGTCGTTGATGTAGACTTCCATTGTATCTCCCAATCGATCGGCAAACATTCTGTTGACTAGACGCTGATAGGTTGCGCCGGCGTTCTTGAGTCCGAAGGGCATGACTTTGTAGCAATATGTTCCCACGTCTGTGATAAATGCCGTTTTCTCCCGATCATGAGGATGCATCATGATTTGGTTGTACCCCGAAAAGGCATCCATAAATGTTAGCAATTCATTTCCGGCCGTTGATTCGACTAGACGATCGATATGCGGGAGAGGGAAATTGTCCTTCGGACATGCTTTGTTTAGATCGGTGAAATCGACGCAAACGCGCCATTTCCTGTTCTTCTTCTTTACCACGACGGGGTTTGCTAACCACTTGGGGTACTTGACTTCTTCTATCGACCCTGCGCTGAGTAATCGGTCGACCTCTTCGTTCACCGCTTTTGAACGTTCAGGTCCCAACTTTCTTCTTTTCTGTTGAACTGGTTTGATTGTTGGGTCGACGTTCAGCTCGTGGGTCGTAATGGAAGGGCTTATCCCTTTCATATCGGCGGTCGTCCAAGCGAAAGTTGACGCGTTTTCCTTCAAGAAAGAAACGATCATGTCTTTCGTGTCGGTCGGCAGTTGAGCGCCTATTCGGACGATTTTGCTTGGGTCGTCTCCATCAATGGGCACCTCCAAGATCTCCTCCTTGAAAGGAGCGATTTTTTGAAACGGTCTAATGACGGCATTCACGTGGCAGGGCGATCGGCGGAGCTTTATTTCCGCAACAAGGAGGTCGCGGGCGGCTGCCTGATCTCCGCGTAAAGTGATTATTCGACTATCCGTGCCTGGGAACTTGATGCATTGGTGATAAGTTGACGGGATCGCCTTCATTGAGTGGATCCACGGTGTTCCGAGAATCGCGTTGTATGTAGTTTTTACGTCGATTATCGAGAACTTGACGTTTTTATTCACGCCATGAGCGTGGACTCGCAGTCGTATGGTGCCGAGCATTGTTTCAGAGGATCCATTGAATCCTGTCAGGGATCGCGCGGAAGGTTTGATCGTGCGGAGGTCGATTCCCATCTTCTCAAGAGTTTCTTTGAAGATGAGGTCGACCGAACTCCCGGTATCGATGAGGACTTTCGTTACCTCGCAATCAC